CATTCTGTAAGTACTGTTTAACTCTTTCATCATCAATATTCTCTTGCGTGTATAATTTCCCATAATAGTCTCATATAATTTCCTTCTTCTCTTTACTTCCATAGCAAACTTGGCCTTGATCATCTATTAATTGCAATATTTTCCTTGATTCTTTCTCCTTTCTCAGTTTATATGCTAACCATCTACCTGGTTTATTTGCATCTTCAAAATAGTTCTGATTCACACCTCTGATTTTCTGTGCTCATTCTTCTTTTTCCATTAGTCCCATTTTATGTTTAATTATATCCATTTTTAACTTAATATCCTTTTTCTGTGGCATTTTCTGTAACACTTTTGCAAGTCCTTTATACTCATCCTCTAATGTCTTAAAGGCTAGACTTTTCATGGTATTTCTTTTCCATGGTATTTCTTTTCCTGTACAGTCTATTATCAAGCCTCTGGCATATGCCTTCATTATATCCCATACGTTCTGCATTGATGTGTCTTCTTTTTTATTTTCTTTAAAGAAAAAAGGCAGTTCTTTCTCCATCCTCTGTATGAAGTCTTTTTCTTTTAGTATAGTATTATTTAACGTCCATCTAGATCTTATTGTTTTTCCTTTCCATTTAATTGTCATTGGATTATGATCTATCCAAGTACTTGTTTCAATATTTATTTCTTGGATATTAGCTAACAATTCGGTTGACATCCATATCATATCATATCAATGTTTTTGATTTGGTCTTTTGTTTTTGCTTTTCACAGAATAGGACTTATTAGCTAAAGAAGTTTGACATATGTTTTAAACTCAATTAATAGCTCTGTATATTTTTTTTTAATTGTACATTTTTAACTATTATCATTGCATTGTGTCCTTATTTATTGTTGAAATGCTTGGTACAGAAGACTGAGAGTACCTAATCTAATCATCTTGAAATCATTGGACTACAGCTTTCATTATTGGGTAGAGGACAAGATATATGATCGAACAATACCATACGAATGATTAAAGTTGATGTCTAGTAATATCTCCCTGGATATCTCTGGTGGTAAAGGAATTATGGTTGGTCTCGAATTGCCATCATGTTGAGGCACTATTTGCAGTTAGGTTAGCACATTGCTGCATAAACAAACAATGAGGGCTTGCTCAGTTAATCTATCAACATTGCACAATGAGAACAGCTGATAAGGCCCTACAGCTCCTTTTATGTGTGTTCTACTTTACACCTGTAATGCCTGATTGACGCATTTGTGACCATAGCAGACTGAACAAACTGCTTTTAAATGGACAAAAGACAATGTGGGCCTGTTATGCTTTCTGCAAGTGAAAAAAATTAGGTGGATTATGGTAATAGTGCTATGGTGGTGCAGTGGTTTGAATGCAGTATTACAGGCTAATTCTGCTGCCTGCTGATTGCCAGCAGTTCGGCAGTTCGAATCTCACCAGGCTCAGTAAAATGAGGACACAGATTGTTGGGGGCAATATGCTGACTCTGTAAACTGCTTAGAGAAGGCTGCAAAGCACTATGAAATGGTATATAATAGCTATTGCTATTACTTCTATCCCTTAAGATCCTCAAACTCAGCATGAATATATCCATTTAGAAGTCTATGATCTTTCAGTTGAGTCTGGAATCTTGCTTACTTAAATAGCATAGCCCTACTGATTCTATCCAAGAGATCTTTTCATGTGGAAAATGTATGAAGGTGCTAGATATGAACTGATCATTCTCCAGAACAGTTATCATCCAGATGCACCTGGAGATGAAAGTTTCAAACCGAATTCTTATTAGGAGTAAAAATGATATAATTTAATTAGTTTAACTTTTGATTAAATGTACAAAAGGCACGGAGAAGATTGTGCTACATATTTCATAACAATGGGCAACAAGCAGAGGTGGTATTCACCAGGTTCTGACCAGTTCTGGAGAACCGGTAGTGGAAATTTTGAGTAGTTTGGAGAACTGGAAAATCCCACCTCTGACAGGAGATTTTACAATATCCTTCCCCTGCCATGTCCACCAAGCCACACCCACAGAACCAGTAGTAAAAAATAAATTGAATCCCACCACTGGTAACAAGTTGGTGAACACTTATAATAGACAATAAAAAATGTACAGTCTGACATGTTGTGCCTCATTAGGATGATTGTAGAGAAGAAGGAATCGAGTAGTAAATTTTCTATCTGAACAAATACTGTGGAAATGACTAACAATGTCTAATAGGTTCATCATAGATGTTCCCATGTGATGTGAAATGACCCTGAAGGAACAGTTCTTTGAAAATACTGCTCCTACCCATAGTTATGGTCCCATGATTCAGTAGCACAAATTTCTTTGCCCAAAGGTGGGGTTGAACAAGTGCATGTCCATTTTAAAGGGCTTTAGGTAGGGCTTAATTTTAAACAAGGTAGCACAAGAGCAGACATAGACAAAAAAATTATCTCTAGGAGAAACAGATTCCATATTTGTGTCCAATGTCTGCTAATCCATTGTTCATGTGATATAATTCTAAAGCAAGTTCTTTCAGATAGTCAGACTATACAGTCAGTTTTACATGAAAGTTAGGTTAAACATAATCAAGTGTACACTGATTTGGAAGACAGTGGAACTTTAAGCACCTATAACTTTGTAGCTCATAGAATTTTTTCAATCACCCTCCTTGAGCTAAGCTTATTACCTATTAAAGGGTCTGCCCTTTAGAAAATTATCACATGAAATCACTGTCAGCTTAAATATACTCAATCTTAATTCTAGTAGCAATGGCAATAGCAATAGCACTTAGACTTTTATACCACTTCACAGTGCTTTACAGCCCTTTATAAGCAGTTTGCAGAGTCAGCAAATTGCCCCCAACAATCTGGATCCTCAATTTACCGACCTTGGATGGATGGAATGTTCAGACAACCTTCAGCCTGGTGAGATTTCAACTGCCAAACTGCAGGCATCTAACAGTCAGCAGAAGTAGCTGCAGTACTGCATTCTGACCACTGCACCACCATGAAGCAGCTTTCTGAACGGAAGAACTCAGTAACCCTATTACTCTAAATCAGATGTCCATTCAAAGTCATGTCCCAAAGTTTACACTTGTATTATTATGGATATTAATATTTCACAACCTAGCTGAGTTCTGAGTTTCAGTTCTAGCTGAGCTTAAAGTACAATACCCAAAAGCTGGATGGAGCTAATAAGGTTCTCAAAAAGGACATTTAAGTTTAAAGATCAAAAGGCAGTTCATGGAGTACTATACAGACATGTTAGAAACCAGGATTATTAGCAGTAGTAACAGCACTTAGACTTATAGACCTCTTCATAGTGCTTTACAGCCTCTCTAAGTGTTAACAGAGTCAGCACATTGCCTCCAACAATCTGGGTCTTCATTTCATCAATCTCAGAAGGATGGAAGGCTGAGTCAACCTTGAACCAGTTAGGATTGAACTGCTGGCAGTGAGCAGAGTCAGCCTGCAATACTGCATTCTAACCACTGAGCCACCACAGCTCTTTGTTAGAACAGTATAAGGACTAATATTGACATAAACTAGTTTTTGCACGTTTGTATTTTCTTATCTTTTTGTTATTTCATAACTTTAATTATCATTGAGTTGCTATTTCTTACCAATTTTCTACACTTAGCATAACACTGCTTATCCCAAAATGGATAATGGGAATATATTGGTGCTATCAGATTCACTCAAAACCTGTGCCAAAGTTTTATATCACTTTGTTCCATAAAACCTGAAAGTTGTTACTCTTAAGGACTTTTCCCCTTAATTTTCTATATATGTATGTGGTTTCTTCCCCAAACCCCCAAAACTTTAACCTTAGACTGTCTATTATTGACCTCACCCCTTTCCTAAGAGGTCTGTAGGGGGCATGCATAAGCGCACCAATGTGCCTACCGTCCCTGTCCTATTGTTTCTTTTATTTTTTATTTTTCTTGTATGTATCCATGTATTTATAACTATGTTTTTACTTATACCTATTATCTTGTTTTTTACACATGTATGTATGTAATTGTGGTTGAGCTACCATGGGCATTGTGTATCTCACAATGTGGGGGGAGCAGAGGCATAGAGTACAGAATATGTATTCTGTAGAGAATACAAATTCTTTGGCAATATAGTCTCTGCATACAGGTTCAGCAGAAAATCCCCTTATAGCAATAAGGGTTTATTTCCAAATAAGCAGAGTTTGACTGTAGTGGTACTGAAACCACTAGTTTTTAATGCTAGCAGTCAAGGGATTCTACTTTTCTTCCTTTCTGGATTTTCTCCAGAAAGGGAAATATTGAAAGAAGGGAAGGAGAAAGATGAGATGATCAAAATGAAAGAATGCACTGGCTGCCTTGGACCACTGCTAAGTATAATTGCACAGTAAAAGCCTGACTGGAAACACTCTAAATCTTTAGGCTGACAGATTTGATAACAATATCAGCAAATTGAAAGATTTCCTCAACTGCCTGGCATGTTCCCTTTACATACTCAGAAACACACATGGTGTTATTCTAGTTAAGTTATTCTCTGTATCAGACACACAGATGCTCATTTTCAGTTTGCTCAGTTCTGTAATGATTCGTTCTGTTTAAAAAGTTTATTAGATATGGTGCTTGTAGCTATTTTGCCTTTGCCAAGGGGCAACCCCGGAGCACCAAACTGATCTGAAAAACAGTTGTTATTTTGTGCTCCAAAACAGCTCCGTTCAAAATTGCTAATCTGACCATAGGAGAGAATTAGGATTTGGGCACTGTAAAGATTTGGCTAGATTTTAGTACAAGAGTTTTCCTCTATCCCAAAGTAGAACTTGCCCAGATCCATAGCAGTTAGCTTATACAGTACTAAGAATTGAAAAGTTAAGAAATCTACCCTGGTGTATATTTTAAGATGGACTGCAAAACTGCAAATATGCCATGGCTAAGCTATAATAAACAACATCAATTCAAGAGAAAGATCCAATGTAGGAGTTAGCTTGTCCTGCTTTGATCAAAGTTCTTTGTAAAACCAACTGTTTACAGAAAACACTCACCCACAACTTCAAGATGACCCAAGGAAAATGTCCTCCTTCTGTATGTTATTCCAGAAACGTCCAAAAGAAATTCCTGAAATTCTTGTAAAATTACTGGTGTGTTCAGAGCTCAGACATTTAAGTTTTTCATTTACGAAATCCTTGTTGGGCTTTTCATTAAATACACTCTGCTTTCCTTTTTTTTTTTTTTTTGCCTCCCCCTAGCTGATGTCATATCCTGATTGTGTCTAGAGGACTACAGCTGTCCTTGCTGCAACACATCAGTTCTTTCACCCTCCCCCAGCTACGCCTCTTACAGTCTTGTGCAGAAACCCCCATGCTAGAAAGATCCTTGGGAAGTGCTCTCCCCCTCCCCTTTCTCTTACACACACACACACACACACACCATTCTCAACACCCAGTCTCAGCTTTTGTTCCATTCTGTTTTTCTTGGCTCCAGATTAAAAGGAAGTTTAAGGGCACATTATTATGAAGATCAGCAAGGAAACTGAAATTCTGCTGCACGGCACCACACCACTTCCCACTCTTCATAAGTTGTAGATAAAGAGATAGCTTTTCAGCTGCAAAGAGCCAGGAGGAAGTTTTCTCCACTAAGCAAACAAAACCAGGTAATAAGAGAGCTCATGCTCCCAACTTTTATTGCAAGGTTGAGAGAGAAGAGGTTTGCCTAAAGAGTGCAAGAACAGGTAGGAAATGCATGTAAGAGAAGAGGCAGAAAATACAATAATTGGCAAGTCTTTATTTTGCAGGCTAACAATCTTTGTGCACTCCTTGGTTACTTGGCTGATCTCAAACACAAAGACTACATACACATGGGCAAAGTAGGGCAGAGCAGATCAGTTGACAAAGACATTAGTGGATCATCATGGTTTGTTAAATAGCAGGTCCCCTGTGATGGCTTTCGAAAGTATCCAGTGATGTCAACGTTGACACCATTCCTGAGAACTTTTAAAAATGGAAGGTTCTGGGTGAATTTAAGTTATTTTAATCCATATGGCAGTCATAGAGCTATCTTCTAAAAAAAAAAAAAAGCATCAATGAGTTTAATAGGAGTTCAGTGGAAATTGCTATTAAGTCTGCTTCCTAAAATTATCTTACTGTTTTTTTCAGGTTCTACATACATGCATATGTTGTTACTAAGAAACATCCAAAATGGACCCAAAGAGCAATAAGATTTGGGGTATGTGTCAATATTGTGTACGTAAGGGTTCCTCAATCTATGGTAGTCCTTATTCAATAAATTGAGCGGCTGTTATCATCCCTAAGCAGGGGTGGGATTCGATTTTTTTAACAACCGGTTCTGTGGGCGTGGCTTAGTTGGTAGGCATGGCTTATTGGTCATGTGACTGGGTGGGCATGGCCAACTCAACGTCACTCACATCAAGGGACGCTTTTCCTCACCTGGCCTCTCATGACAGTGGGGATGCTGCAACAGTGTAAAAAATGGTCATAAGTCACTTTTTTCAGTGCCATTGTAACTTTGAATAGTCACCAGTTTTAGACCAAAACTCAAAAAGGGTATGTAAACTCACATTTGAATGTCAATCTTTCTAGCTAGCCAAGAAGCCTTGCTGAATATCACTCATCTTGGTTCCTTGTCATTAAAAGCTTCTTTCTGGCAGCTCTGCTTCAATTATTTCTTCAAAGTGCTAACTCCAACAGGGGAGTATTTCCTCCCAACAGCAGCGTAAAAAGCTTAAAACAACCCTTCCCCTTTAAGAAAGTAAAGCAAAGAAAAAAAAGAAAAAAAACCTCCTTCAGACAAAGTAAATCTAGGCATACTGCCAAAAATGTAAGAAGGGTGGAAAAAAACAAAAGGATATTTCTTCCAACAAACGGTTCTCTGAACTGCTTGGAAAGTTAACAAGCGGTTCTAGCGAATAGGCGAGAACCTGTAGAATCCCACCCCACCCCTAAGAAGCATGCCATGCTGCCTGTGAAAGACAAAGGTTACTTACTAAATCTGAAGGATACCAGGATGGGTCCAGTTCAAAATTCAAACCTTTATTGTCAATGCACAACATGTGTACAATGAAATTGAATGAGCCTCCCTTGGTGCAGCCCACCCAAGAATAAACTAGCACACATTCCCCATACTAGAATGTATACTAGTCATACTAGGGTCTAGATCTAGAATCGGAATAATTTGGTAACCATCTATCCAGATTCTAAGACAGAATAGTGACCAGGAAATCTATATATATAAAAGCAAAATACCACTTATGCATCATCACAAAATCTCCAGAACCGTAAAGCCTACAAACTTTGAAATTTGGCACATAAGTTCCTCCTGGCTTCTAGGTGCTCACTAAGAAAGGATTTTTCGAAATGACCATCATAGCGTTAGTATTTCGTATATTATTATTAACACACTCTGGTGCTAAGGAGTTCTACTCCCTCTCCCCACCTGAAAAGAAATCTGTTCCAAATGCAAAGCACAAGCAGAAGAAAGGCATTTCAGTTTCACAGCACCAAGCAGCTCTAGTACAGAACAGTTGAGCTAAGCCATGCCCAGGCTCCTTGCTGTCTCCTTCTTGCTCACACAGCAAATACTCTTTCAGTTTCCAAACAGCCTTAAACTCTCTCATACACTGACAGGACACTAGCCAGATGAATACCGATGGATGCTGGTAGGCGAGGCACATTTTTTTCCCTTATTTTCCTCCCCCAAAATTAAGCCCGATCACATAGTTTCAAAGTGAAGCGTAGATATAGAGTTAGTACTATATAGTGAACATTCATGTAAAACCTGTTCTGTCACTAAGTTACAGCCTTTTTTGTGGGGAAACAAAAAAATATTACTCTAAAATCATATCCTGGTTCACAAAGGTTTAACTTGTGATTACTACAACATAGTCATCCTGACCAACTCAAGACTGACTTAGTCTTCCCTCCTTCCGAGGTTGATAAAATGAGAACCCAGATTGTTGGTGGGGGCAATATGGTGATTCTTAGAGAGTGCTGGAAAGCACCGAAAAGCAGTATATAAACCTAAGTGCTATTGCTATTGCTGTTGAAAGGATTAGCCGGTGACATCACCATTGCCTGGGGAACACCCAACTGGGGGTTTCTTTCATGTGAGGAGCAAATCCAGAACAATGGCTCACAATGCTCCCACTCTCCCTGTGCAAGGTTTTCAAAGTTTTCAAAAAAAAGTTACCCTACTGACCCTATGGTCTTAATGCATAGTTTGAGCACTCTTGTTTAATGTAATGTAACAGGTAGGAGCACGGTAGTGCCCAAGGTTAGGGTGCTGGATAGGACGGCAAGCCGCATTTGAGACCCACGTGTTGCCATGGAGCAGGATTGAGCTCCCATCCTTCACTTCATGTGTGCAATGTATAATGGGAAGTTGCAGAACCACAAGATTTGAGAACTGCAGCATAGAGCTTAAACTTGGGGGGGAGGGATAGATAGGGAGGGAGGGAGGGAGAGAGAGAGAGAGAACAAGTTTTTAAAACATTCCCATCCTGATATTACTTTCCTGAGTTTTGAAGTTGAAGGAAGTAAGGGCGTAGTTTCTCATTATAAAATGAGAGTTTCTTTGGTCCTTTGTAGCACTGGTTTCCTCTGCTTCAAATAAATTTCAAGGCAATACAGATCAGGAAGGAGAATGATAAGGGAGGGAGCAGAATGGTGGAGGAAAATTTAATAGGCAGAAAAACAGCATCTAGAATCTCACAACAGCCAAAAAAGAAAAAGAAAAATCCAACCAAAAGCACCCAGCAAACTAACCCCACTCACAGAAATGAGAAATGAGAAAGCACCCTGAGGATGAGGCAAGGCCTTTTATGCAGGAAAATAAACATTTGGACAACTGGAAAGAAGAATTTGCTTTATTGTTAGTCATACAAGGACATTGATTTTGGCCAAGGGATCACAGAAGCAATCCAAAAGAGAAGAGGTGATCTTTTCCCCCTTCTTGTGATTGACAAAACTGCACTGGACTGAAAAAGATTAACAAGATTAAAACGAGATTAAAAAAAAAAGAAAACCAAGTACCCCATTAAAAACAAAACAACCAAAACAGAAGAGACTGTTTTCAGAGAACTCCGAGATAAAATTCCCCTTATGTTGCAAGAGATAAAGGCTGACAGCCTCCAATTGCTGATCTGCAGGCCAAACAATTTAGGAGAAAGGAGAATTAAAGTATCAGTTTATGGTCTTTAGCAGTGGTGGATTCAACCAGTTCACACCACTTCAGGAGAACCGGTTGTTAACTTTCTGAGCAGTTTGGTGAGCTAACTGATTGTTGGAAGAAATCATTAGGGCAGAGAACCGGTTGTTAAATTATTTGAATCCCACCACTAGTCTTTAGACAGTGACTGGCTTCTTGCTTTTCTATTGTTTCTCCATTGACTTGTTCCTTCAATCCAAAAAGTCTCTTTTTGAGTGAAATATCCTTAATTAACACACGTTAGTGGAGTTCACAAAGAATACTTATACTACCAAACATTAATTCTGAGTCCTATTAGACTTTGCCAATTCATATTCTCCAGCAGCTTTCCAAAATTTGATTCTGCCCCAACTTAAGCTGACATGAGTTGTCATCCAGCAATCACATATTTCCTGCAGTGTGGGAACTTGGAATGCTAATGGGGAGGCATAATGGTCAAAGGCAGAACTGATACATAGATTTCTGTTTCTTGGAACTGAGCTGCTACTTCTCTGGAATCAAAACAGTTCTGCTTCTACCAGATGCTCAGACATGTCCACCGAAGACCTCAACAGGAAGGCTCCAGTCACTCAAACTCCAAGACAATTGTTGGGATTAGTAACAACCTGCATTAAAAGTCTCTGACACCTTTTCTGCTTATGTGAAGAATCAACCATATGGCATTTTTAGCTATATGATTTATTCTAATTCCCATAGATGCAGATGTGCATTGTTTCTTATTAACATAACATCCATATTACTGAATTATACAGTACAATATTTCTAAAACAACTTTAACGCAATGCAATGCAATGCAATTTTAGATTATGAATGGAAAATGTGTGGGAATCAGCAAAAGTTGTTATAAAGTTGTAAAGGAAGGCACTAATGAGGTCAGCTGGAAATTGATAGGAAGGCCGAGAGATGTTAGGAGATAGTGATAAGGAGAACACAGTGACTTCCGGAAGAATGGCTGGTTGTTTATAAGCAAAAGAAAAGTTTTAAAAGACATTAATATAAGCCCCAAGCGAAACAAACCCAAGAGAATATCTTGGTCAATATAAGAAAGACTTCAGAGGTTATAAGTGCCATCAAAGATCTGAAGAAGTCTACCCAACTACTCTGAGTGATCATATGTAATTATCAGTGGGGAACATTACTGAACACTTTAATAAAA